TGGAAGGAAGAGGGGGAGTTCAGTTCTAATCTTAGTAAAGCAGGGACAGACAAACCAAAGTTATAACTACAGTCTACACAATACAATTTAGAAAGGCCTCCTGGAATAGACATATATTCCATACTTCACACTGCCATATTAAATATCTATAAAATTAGTTTGGCAGATTATGATGTATTTCAGTGAAGTCTTTTTTTCTACTCTTCTTGTAGTTTCTCTATGATGTTTAACTTATAAAGAAATTTTAGGCTTTGGTTTATCCTGTGTGATAAAATATTTTGGTGGAGGGATATCTTTGGGCTAGTTTCTGGTGACTGTTTGGACGAGTCCCTGCAATTTTCTTGGTAAGATTTCAGAAGTGATTTGTTTTCTTTTTAGGGCTGAGAGGATTGACTGGCCCAAGGTCACCCATTGATTTTGGGCCTAAGACAGGACTAGAACTCAAGAGTCTTCTGGTACCTAGCCTGATAGCTAAACTCAGCGGTGTCAAACTCAAGTCCCGCGTTCGGATTCTGCGCACGGGATACTTAAATCCAGCCTGCGGGGCTGGGCCGGAAATATCAAGAGACCGACCCATGGTGCCTCTGGCGGCTAAAATGGGCTGCGTGTGGGGGCCCTGCCCTTTACCCTCCATGGCCTCCTGCAGCACTCTGCTGGCTGAAAAACAGACCCAAAATGGCCTGGAGAATGGGCCCAAAACGACTAAAAAACGGGCCCAAACAAGCTGGAAAACGGCCAAAAAACAGTCCAAAAATGGGCTGTGCAGCCCGTTTTTTGCTGGCAGAGTGCTGTAGGAGGCCATGGAGGGCAAAAACAATACGCGGGGGGACCCCCTGCACCCCGTTTTGCCCTTCCGGGTGCAGGAGGCATCCATCCTGCACCCAACCCACCCCCAGCTGGCCTGCAGACAAGAACTACAAGGTCCTCAAAGAAATCCAGTTTGACACCCCTGCCTTAACTGCTCCTCCAGTCTGTCTCCCTAATGAACTCTACTGAGCCATTAACTATTATGAACTCCAACTATTTTTTCCAAATGATTCTCAACAGCTTTCTTTTTTTATATCTAGAATGAAACATGAGTTCATTCGTGCTCAATATATTATGCTAATAAAAAAATCAAACTTAGTAATATTTTCAACATGAAAACTATTATTACTTCAATTCCTTGATGTCTATTCTTTACATTTCTGAACCTTGTAGTTATTGCAATGTGCTCAAAACTTAAGCTATTATTTACTTGACAGCACCAGAGATCAAAACCTTCTTTGGAATCTTTCACTTTGAAAAGTGTTAGAGCAATGGGAACATTTTTATATGTTTCCAACTGCTTGAGGCTACTGGGATTTTATTACCATTTTGCACATCCTAAATGGGCAGACGCAAATCAGTTTTACACAGCTCCATCAAAAGCACTTAACGTTTCATGTATGCATATTATTCCTCCCCGGAGAGGCGTATGTGCAACTTTATTGATCACTTCCTTGTCTGCACTATTGTATTTATCAATTGCAGTTGTTAAATTCAACTAAATATTCTGTAGGGGGAAAAAAGCCCTTGAGAGCAAAATGCTCTGATGATTCTAAATGGACATATTTCTGGTTAATCTTGCCTTCAGAAGTAGTAGATACAACCAATCCACTTACCTTAGCTCCTTGGTTTGTGTTAGCAGTTCTCATAGGAAAAATGTGTTTGAATCCTATTTAGCAAGCAACTTAATTCATTCTGTTTTTCTTTTCTCTTATTTATTCAGTTTCTATTATAATTTTTCTTTTTCATATGTGTGTGTGTAGATTTTCACAGGTACAGGTATGCAGGTCTTGGCATGTTCGGATCTTTTCCCATGTAAGATTGAGAACTCAACCTTACACAGGAAAAGACCTGAACACGCCAAGACCTGCGTGTGTGTGTGTGTGTATATTTGTTTTCTTAAGTTTTCGCGGGTACTTACATGTGTGGTATTCAGCTTTGTTCGGGTATTTTCCCACGTCATTGTAGTTGTGCTTTTAAAGTTGTAGCAACGTTTCGGCAGAATCTCATCTGCCATCATCAGGCTTCATTATCAGTTTATATATATAAACTTTAAAAGCACAACTACAATGACGTGGTAAAATACCCGAGCAAAGCTGCATACCATACATGTAAGTACCCGCAAAAACTTAAGAAATATATATATATATATATATATATATATATATATATATATATATA